AAAATAATAGTAAAAAATAAATGTAAGACGACGTGGTGGGACTTGGTACTTTTTTTTAAATATTTTATAGTCCGTACTTTATGGCTCTTCGTATACATATAACCTTTTAACACGCCATTAAACTTGCGAGGTATCTTATTGGACGCTTCAGCTTTTTTTTCTCAAGACTTTGAATAAGTTTACCAAATTTTTGGAAACTTTTCATCGCTCCCATTGTACTATTTCTACACAGTTGTATAATAACCGAGGACAAATGGGAATCTTAAAAGCCGAAAGGGATTTTTTTACTACCCTTGAAAGATCCTGCCCTTCGCGACAATCAAGGTTTGCGGGATTTTCAATCACTCTTACTTTCTCACTCCCTTTTATTCCTTCTCGGACCACTATTTTCGCACTTTACTCCCTTTTAACGGTGCTGTTTTATTTTTATTATGTGTCTGCCGTTTATTTATCTACTTTTTCGCTTTTTCTCTTCTTTCGTGAGACTCGGCTCTAGTTTGGCGATGACTCCGTTTTCTCCTTTCACCAAATATTAACAAACAAAAAAATGAAAAAAAATATGAGTCGTAAAAATAAATATTTACTCCCCATAATATTGCATAATACTTTTTGCGTCTATATTTTTTGCCGTTCGTCTACACATAAGCTTTCACGAAATTTAAATATAATATAGAGCCCCATATACACGTATCGTATCTTTAGAGCACAATTTGACTTTGCGAATTCGTACTTTCAGAGAACGTCGAATTTAATTAAATTCTCGTATATTTTCATCTCAAACGAGGGAACATGGAGAAATATTTTTTCTTTCCAAATTTACTACGGCAATTTAACATGATAATTTTAGGTTTGTCTAATTAGTCCGAAGGTGTCATACATATGTGCTTCTACCATCCCCAGAGAATTTCCTTTAGGGAATACTCTGGCTGAGCACCGTATGGATTTAGCAATTATGCCTGGGGTCCCGCAGGCGAGGACTTTGATAGTTAATATTAATTATGGCTAAAGGTAGATACACAACGTTTCACAGTGCAACAGCACTCGGTAATATTTCCCACTGAAAATATCACGTGTAATGATATACTGAATTTCGCATTATCGTCAGGAAAAAAATAACACGCGTCCAATCAATACTAGAAGCAACAAGTAACATGTACGATCAATGTTTTTTGCATTACATAACGCACGTAGCGCTAAACTCATTTGTTAGTAGCAGATTATTATAGGGTAAGAAAGTTATTTGCCCAGCTCGTGTTTCGCAATTACTTTACGAAAGCAAAAAAAGTTTTTTAACGAAGCAAAGTTACTTCGCGATTAAAAATGAAGAAGTGCTACGATTTCGGTAACTTTGCCCTACTTGCCGAATTTTCGTGTCTGACTTTAGCGTAAGGGTCGAAAGTATATGCGAAACTATTAATCACGTCCAACTTCGTCGTGTCAGTTATACAGAGTACTACAGCCCCTGTAAAGTCCTGTAAATCATTCTATATCCTTTTACCGAACTCGTAACAGCCCTTACTTCTGTCTTCTTCCCATCGAAATTGCACTGAAACTTTCTAGCTGAGCTTTCTTTCTGGCAGCTTGGGCGCAATTTTTTTTTAGCATTTGCGAAACCTGTGCTTATTTCAACATCTTCCACGTGTGAATATTCACCGGGATATCCATATGCATGCATCGTACAGAATATGTAAAGGCCGTGTGCTTCCGTACGATAGCTTTAACCAGAGTTTCAGTATAATTTTGAAAATTAAGAAAAATACATCATTTTCGTGTTTGTCAAGATTATACAGTAGGTTTTGGTAATATTTTAAGTATCACAAAGAATTTGCATAAACGACTAGACGAATTTTTATAGAAAACAATGTTTGAAATCGTGGCCGTTAATCTGCCTGAAAGTAGTACTTTGAGATATGTTAGCTTTATATAAATTAACGCCATAATGTATTGATGTATAAAAACGAGTGCATGGGTGAGCAGCGTGTCGATTAATTCACGTTTAAATTGGCCAGACAGACGGTTTATGGTACTTTCAGCCGGTTGACTCGTATCGTTTTACATGGCACTTCAAAGAGGAAAAAAATGACGACTGGTTACGTAAGGGCTCTAGGTTTAACAAAAATAAACAAAAAGGAAATTGGAAAACGGTGCTCCGGCGTAGGGATAACGAAGGAAACAAAAAAAATAAAAATCTGGAAAACCGTTCGCTTCCGTGTGAGAGATCTGAGTGCTTGCTAGCCAGATTCATTCGAATTGAATCCGGCAGGGATTTACATTTCCGCGAGCCACGCAGAAAAACCAGCAGTAATTCACTTCCGGTCAGAGTCACCGGAAATGAAGTCTTCTCCTAGCCGAAAGCTTTTGTTACTAAGCCTCCAGGCACTTACAGAAGCATGTAGAAAAATAAAATAAAAGTTCGAATAAATTCAGCATCCGTTCTTGAGACAATAAAACGATGATAAAAGAATATCACTTTATGTAAATTTTTATCAGATTTATGTACGCATGTACTTTAAGAAAATTTCTTTCGACCAGAACATGAAGGGATTCGTTAATTAACGTACGATTTACGACGGAGGAATAGCTTTCTTTTACAGGTTACCCAAGCTACACCGGAAATTGTGAATTTCCTCGAAAAAGCGAATTCCACGGTTTCCTAATACCAGTTAGGCCAAGTCGTGATAACTAACGAATATGAGGTAATAAAAAAGAAGCGTGAGGGTGAGAGAGGCCAGTGGCGTAGGTTAATGGGGTGGGATTCAGCAGGGTGGGATTGGCATGGGCTCGTACTAGGGGGTGAGTAGGAGTGGGAGGGCAACCAATGGCGTACATCCTGGGGGATGTTTCACGTTTCGCATTTCGAGTCCCTGATAAACGAGCTCCGGAGAATTAAATTCTCGCACGGCCGCAACTCTCGGTTCCCGTAACTCACAATCAAGGCAATGGGGAGTCCGCAGCGTAACGCAGATTAATCTGTTTGCCGATTGCTAGGATCGCTCTGTGACGCGACCCCTACAATTTTATACTATTGACCTTATTTCAAATGGTGCATTTCTGATGCAGCGATGAAGATGCAACTTTGACCGACATTCGCAATGCAATGAAATAACAAACTGAAAAATTTATTTTTTCAAATGTCAATCAGGAAAATTTCAGCTTTAAAGACAAAACGATTGTACCTGAAGAAATGGATGAATTTTATTTTATTTACGTACAATAATATATAACGAGGTAAAATATGCAGATAGTTTGTAAATACGAGAAATCGTAGAAGTATTTTTGTCACCATTTGAAAGTTCAAAATGTATTATTTGAAATTTACAAAAACTAACAGACAGAAATTTCACCTACTATCTCGCCCCCTCTAACAGACATAAATCTATGCAGACGTAATGGGCACGAAATCTTCCTGTCAGATGGAGCAGGTCGGAAAATGTATGAAACGTTACTTTACAAAAAAATCTTTTTTTTTTCAATAATCCATAAAATTGAAATAATCATACCAGGATGTCACGAATTAATTTTATGCGGTCTACAGTTACGGATCAAAATCGTATCGCAAAAGTTATATGAAAACAATTGTTCTCTAGTTGTGTCAAATATGTGCATTTTATCAGTGCGCCTGCCGCGTGCATACACGCATCCATGTGCAAACACGAATGCATCAACGCGTGCACATGCGCACGTGACTACGCTACCCAATGCTTCAATTATTTTTTGGCTCTTTTATATTCAAGCGGCAAGCCAATCATTTTTCATGTTTCATTTTTCAACGTAAAATAAAACAATCGCGTGGCTCTATTTTGTATACCCCAATTCTCGTTTTTATCTAGAGATAAAATACATTATGATACGTTAATAAAATCGCCTGGCTCTCGAAAAATCAATCAAGATATTTCATTACTGTGCACGTACCTTGATTCGTTATCCACTGTTATTTTAACAATCGCAAGGTACATTCTTGTAAAATTTTGAAATATTTTTTCTACGTTACATTTTTTTTTTATACATATACATATATAGTGTCCATTGACTTTCGTCAAGTTTGAACAGAAAATAATAACGAACAGGGCTGCATGGTCGCAGCCCCAAAGTGTACTGTAGAGTAAATGGCATATGTGGGTGCGCAAAAAGCTGCAGCGCCTGGGTTCAGTTATATTTTAGAGTATACAGGCAACAGCAGAGATATAGTGAAAGAGGGGGGGGGGGAGAAACTGACGTGGTAGGAAGGCAATGGAAAATCGAGGTTATAATTGAATTTTTAACGCCGCAATCCACGGCAAGCCCAGCTGCGATGCAACAAAACTCTACCACGCACAATTGTTGAGTTCAGCCGAACGTTGTGAAAACGTTGCGATAAGTTTCGATATAGTTATTTACGTTCTACGCGCATACGAATATATCATGTATACATTATATACGTGCCAATATAAAAAAAAAAACATTTATTAGTATCGAAAATATAATTGATAAAGGATTTACTAATAGAAATCAATATATTGGATATACTCAGTATATCAAGAGCTTGAGTATATCTAGTTGCAGTATAGCCCTTTGACATTTGATATGCAGTTCCAATAGTCTGGCCGTGATGTTTGCGTTTATAAATTTGCACTATATATTCTGACGTAAAATCACGGTTCACCTGGTTTAATTAATTTTTTCACGAAGCAAATCAATAATGTCTATACATTGCATTAATTAACAGAGTATAAAATGATGGTCTTCGGATTGTCCAAGATTATTATTTTTATCATGTTTAATTAGAATTTTTACATTATAAAATCATGTATCTATTATACGTTTTTTTATTATATGCATATTTACATGTTTAATGGGACATGGTCCTGCTGATAGTCATGGTCTCATGTTATTTAAAGGGAGACTTCTCTTCCCTCGAAGCCCATGTGTTAAATTGCTACTGGACTCATTTTTCATCTATATATCTATATGTATTTGTTGGTGTTGAATCATGTTAAACATTTTGTATTTTTCTGCTTCAGGATGCACGGCTATACAGCAGTTCGACGAGACGCCACAGTATACAGAAGTGAATCCTGGTCAGGATGCAAAACTCATATGCCGTGTTCAGGGCAAACGCGGTCAGTGCATCTGGCAAAAAGACCGTAAGGTTGGTATAAAAAGATGACAGAAAAAAGGGACTAGTGTAATTTTGAGATTGTAGCGAATCAAGTCTCCCGTTGTTACTCGTGTGCTACTGCCCTTTGACATTAAAAAAGAACGCAATAACTGATCTCGTGGGATGCTGAAAATAATTTGAAAAGAAAAATGAGAAAAAGTAACTTTTATGCAATTAACTGAACCTTTTCAATTTTTTCCAAAATTAGAATTTCCTGTTTGCTGCTAAGACTTAATGTGTGATTTTCGAAACGCTGGGATACCGCTTTAACGAAATATATAAAACGCGAGTAAAAGATGGTTAATGGAGATACGCGGTGAGGAAACGAGAAGTAAAAAACACAAGGCGCACCAAAAGGCGTCACTAAAATAAATAACTGTTGCCAACTTGCACAAAAGAGATAACCGATAGGCCAAAAGTTAAGGAAAGAAAAAAGAAAATGGGAAGGAACGGAGACAAAGACAAAATGTGAAAGCAAACAAGTTTGACTTGAGGCACAATCCATGCGACCGTAAAGTCGCACCTTATGCATTTGCTATCGAGAAAAACAAACCATTTTCGCGTCTGCGCTGCTTTGAAAGCAGAAGTGTTGGGTATCTGGCGAACACCACTGTTTCATCCGCGCCCGATGCTTGATTTTTTTCTGTGAACACGATCGATTCAACGGGCTAGAATTTTTGCCACAAAACTTCACATCCACGTGGATACGTGTATAAAATTTTTGCAATGGCGAATACGTAAAACACGACCACGCGTTTCATGCGGTTGCACCGAAAAAGACTCTCAAACCATGAAAATGATAAATATAAAAAGCATCAGCAGAGTAGGAAGTGGTGAAATGGCCAGGAGGGATAGTCCAGGAGTAAAAGTTGAAGTTAGACTCCGTGGCAACCGTGGCTTTTAAATTGAAGTCGTTACAACACCTAGTCTGAAAAAGTTGGCCGACCGGGCTTTCTGGGGGGTTTGAAAAGGGGTTGATGTCGAGCGTCAGTGCTTTGGAGGCAAATGAAAAGGGGTAGTTTTCCAAGTAAAGAAGGAAAGAAGGAAACGAGCAAGTACCAGCCAGCTCCAGCAGCACCATCGCGCTACTACCTTCTACCATGATTCAAACTTTGTCCCTTGAAACCTCGAGCTGAAAGTTCCCCGCTATATATTCTACGCTCTGCGGTCCAGCTTCCAGCTTCCGGATTTCTTGTTTCACGTTTCACATTTAAAATTACAGATTGACCTTTCGTGAACACGAAAAACTGGGGTGCTCGATGCTTCTTTGTAAAAGGGGATGCAACTGTCCTTTCTCTAAGTGATATCCTAGGGTTTTTTTCACCCTTCAGCTAACAGCCCTTTACACAAAAGAACATCCCGTCGTCACTTCCTGCCATATGGCTTACAACTTCTTCTCTACTTGCACTTGGCTGAAATATGTGATTTCTTCAGAAAATATAAAAAGCTCATTCGCTTCGCATAATAATTCATGTTTGTGTTATGTTTTTCTATTTAGTAAGGATTAATTAGCATCCATTACGTTATTTCGCTTAATTACTAAACCTTTATCATGCTTAGATTATTCATTTATTCGGACACATATTTTTACATTGCATATTTTTGCGCGATATTTTTGTTCCCTTTTTTTTATCCGGTACGCTAATTTCGAATATTACAGTAACGTTGCTACTAACCTTTTACTATTCATTCACGTATATATTAGGTATTACGTATATCGATGCATCAAAGATGGAGATTGATTCGTTATACGAGTGCACGGGATTGCATCGATGCATCAAATTTCATGCATTCGACAATGTCGATCCGTTTTAATGACAGCCGAATTATAGAAGTCGTCCGCGTTCTGCCTGTATGTCCTGATTTTTTAACACGAAGCAGGTAATATTTCTCTTTTTGCCTTTATTATTCTTTTAAAAAATATCGTAAATTTGCATATTCGTATTCACCTGTCCACATAAAAAGAAATATTTTTAAACACGAAACGATGAACAGATTTTAATTGAATTAAACCCTGCTTAATTAACAATACTGCAAAATTATACTGCTAAACAATATTTTTTATAATTAATTAATTAAATTAAATTAATTAAACATTTTCAAAATCAACACTTACAGATAATGAACTAAATCAGGTTATAATAAGGAGGTAATAAATCGATCAAAGTAATACACGCTAAAGTTGCATATTAAGTGAACGATATTTGCCAAATGAATATTTAAGCAAATTAAATGTTAAGTACGTACATATACAGTCATCTATACTATGTGTATGCTACCCTTAGTGCCATTATACCAGTTTATGGTCAAACATGATTAAAGTCAAATAGGAGCAACTTTACCAATTTGAAATGTAAAATCTGAAATCGGGTTTGCCAAAGGCAGCGAATGAAACATTCTGTAGAAATTCATTCGAGCCCTGAAATACATTAAAGTAGCTCGCTCTAATATTGAAGTAGAAGTACATTAGGGGAGGAAACCATTTTCATATCCAAAACTACTATTCATATCCACAACTATTCCATGCATACTACGTAAAGCTTCACTCGAATATACAGTTAGTATTTTTATAAGAGTCTATAATTTACTGATGTGAAGCATAAAACTAAACCAACTACCATTAAGAATAATTAAAATTCTTCTATCTCGTGGTAAACCATAGTTATTACCTTAAAACAAAATAAAAGTCACCGAACGATTAATAAATCAAAATGTGTACCTTCCCGATATATAACTCCATACCAAATTATATTAGGGAAGTGAGGGTAAGAAAAAACTTTGGAATCCCAAGAGGTAAGAATGAAGTATAAGGATTCCATCATCTCTAATCCCGTGCCGCATCCCTAGCCGCTGCAACTCTCATTGCAATCGGGGCTTTTACCGTCCCCCCAAGGGAGAAAGGGATGGCACGATATACCAGCAACACGGTAGGGATGGTAATAGTAGCAAGAGGCAGTTGTACAGTTCCAGGGGTGAGCTCCAAACCGGTGGGTCCTCGGGCCGTTTTTACTGTGCGAGACGAGCCGAGCATATAGGGTAAGTTCCTGTACTATCCGCTGATGGGCGGGATGTCGGAGGGGGTAGAAAGGTGGTTAGGGATGATGGGTAGAGGTTAAAGGGTGCATCGGCAAGGGTAGGGGGTGTGTCTGCGGGTGCATTACGCTGATTGCTGGTCGCGGCCTCTACGGAGAACACTGAACACTGCTCGGGGGTGCAATGGGAGTGCAAGGGAATGCAGGCGATAGCTGCCGGCGCTGCTCTAGCTTTGGCTGAGTGCGCCAGAGGGTAACTCGAGATTCAGAGTCAGAGAGTGAGGAGGAGAGGGTGCGAGAGAATGTGAGTTAGAGGCCGAGAGTGTTGGGGTGGGGATGGGGGGGGAGAGAAAGGGAAATAGTCAGAAACGTAGAAATGAGGATGTAGGAAGGGTCGAGGAGAATGAAGAAAGGGAATAAGGGCTCTCGCTGTTAAGTAAGTGAGCCGGGGGGGTTGAACTTTCTGCGAGCAAGAGAGCGTGCCCGGATTTTAATCCCTTAAATGAATGACGTGGCTTTTGTGCCATCAAAGATCCGCAATCTCAGCCTTCAAAGCCGTCGCTGATATACCTTTATAATATTCAACCCAATGACCTTTGGGTGCCTGCAAATTTTTCGTTTTATCGGCTCTTTTTTTATTATCAATTCTTGATTGGCGAGGGGAGGAGGGAGAACGCCCTTTAACATTTTTTTTCACTAGACGGGTACGATCTTTAACCCTCTGGGGACCGTCTGGGTGTCCAGCCGTCCAGTGTCACTTTATAAACGAAGTGTTTGGAAGAGAAAGGAAGCGGAGAGCATGGCTGTTAGTCTATAAATTAGGGGGAGAATATGGAGTACCTCGCAGGCATAAGAGCTTTGTCAATTGACTGCTGATGTCTGAGTAAGAAGCATTTATAGTGCGTTCTGGGTTGCTGGACACACTGAGTGGGTTTATCAGGTGGAAAAGCGTGCGAAAGATTCTTGTTGAAAAATTGCATAACATATTTTTTCTAGTGACAATTTGGTGCAGTGAAAATGAAAAAAAAATCTATTTTAGACAATATAAGCACAAGATAATTTTTCAGCAGGTAGGAATATGTGCGTCTCAAAAATGTGCTAATATTTTTATTAAATAAATCATTTTGACAAATTTTTCTAACCTTTTGACATTTCAATTTACTTTGACTGTTTTATAAAACTAAAATATCGTCGACGGACTCGTACAACCCTCTGGTGATTTAATTTCAATAATTTTGAGTTAAAAATAAGAAATTAAACACGATTTATAAATAGTAGAATTTATAGGTTACTAGACACCCAGGTAGGTCCAGATCAGCACACCAGAAAACTTACAACCCATCTCATGTGTGTTGGTTCTATTTAAAAAACCATTTTCTTAATAAAGAGAGAGGAAGTTACTTAAACAAAATCCCAAGACTACGTAAAACTCATAATTCTAACAGTATCTAATAAGATGCTCATCTTTTGTTGCAGCCAATAGGAATGCATCTAAAAAAGTATGAATGGGTCGGATCACCGGATCTAGGGGATTGCTCATTATGGGTGAGATCAGCAGCCCTGGAGTTTGATGACGGCCTATGGCAATGCCAAGTGACAGCTAGCGAATTTACAGCTCAAGACGCCTTAGCGTCGGAGACAGCCAGATTGGTAGTCCGCGGTATAAAAACATTTTTCCTATCTTGCAATTTTTCCCCAAATCACCAAATTTCACCAAATAAATAATTCCAAGCTAGTCTAACTGAATTTCGTTTATGGTGAGAAAATTTGATAACAGTATCCTCATTATGTACTAATGAAGGTCGATTGTACACTTACAGTCAGCCCTCAAAGACCACAGATTGAATACGCCGGCACTCTCATATTACCTGGTACCAACGTCACTGCCAGGGCAGGTGAGATAGCCAGTCTCACCTGTACAGCACGCTATGGGAATCCGTCACCGCTAATCAAATGGTTCGTAATTCGATTCATTACGTAAAGTAGCAATAATAATTTATACATGGTACGTTACGAGTAAAGTTATAGTGTAACGCAACCCCGGCGGTTTCTAATGGCTATGGGAATTATACAGTGAAAAGGAGCTTCAATGTCTATGATTTAGAGGGTCGTGGAGATAGGGCTAGGGTTTGTATTGATGGAACTACTAGTGGAAATACTAGTGCCACCAGTGAAAATAACTATAAAATAGTATACTATATTGTAGTATAGTGCCTTTCAAGTATTCTCATGTACGACCAATAGTTTAGCCAAAGTCTAGAGTACCTTCTTGTGATATTCACACTATGAATAACCATGATCTACTCTGAATTTCGTATAAACAACCCTAAGGAGACAGGGTGCCATTTTCGTGCTTTTACATATTCAGAGACCGATCCGAACAGCTGACGCGTGAACTTTCGAAAAGCTAATTGAATATATAAAAAATTATAAACCAAATGTGCAATCTGAGATTTTTAATGAGATTACAAGTTGGTATGATAATTATTTCCCATCATTATGTATAAATTGCTTAAGAGCTTCTTACATGATAATGGCCCACCTATTGAAAGACAAAGACAAAGAGGTCCTGAAACGTTAGGGGTGCAAAAGGTCATGTGATCTCGCAAACTTACATTCACCATTTATGTATTTTCAGGTACTTGGGAGAGACGGAATTGCGTACTTTACGACCCCAAACTAACAGCACTGAGCCAGACAATCCGAGAACTTGGTCGACCAAAAGTACTTGTGAAATACTTGCTGAGAGGTCACGATACGGTCAGCCAATCAGATGCGTTGCCATTCATCCTGCGTATGCCAATCCAACTATGTCATCCAGTACCGAAGTCCGTTTTGATGTGCGATGTAAGTGTGAAATTGCCATAACTATATTATTATGGTCCAGTAAGATAGTATCTTTTTTAAGCAATTTCAATGTCCCAGTCCACTAATAAATAAAAATAATAATAATAAAAGTTACGACAAAAAAGGAAACAATTGAAAAATTTTACGTGGGGAAAAGAATTTCGATAGGAAATGCGGAACCCGGCAATAAAATCCCGAACGTTCATTTCACGAGAACCGATTAAGGGATAAGCTTTGAAGGGACGAAATTCAATAGTAACCGAGATCCTCGGATTTTTTTTAGATAATTTAAAAAGTCCGTACGAACGACTCCAATATGCCCCCTGGACGTTGTTGGATAAAATAATCAGTTTCGCATCGATCTTACTAGTGTGCCATATTTGAAACACAAGGGATGATTTCGTATGGGTGAACACCCAGGGTGAATCAGGGTGAATGGGCCGAATGAGAGTGAATGAAGCAGCGACAAAGAACTGTATATATAAATATATGGATATATATGTATTAAGTATATGGGTACACGTATATGAGAAACACAAACACCAGTCACGTGTATTATACACAGTATACAAAAATATATATAGATATACAGTCGATGCATTGGTGCATATAGTTGCATAAGTATGTGAATGCAGCTCAGTTATTTTCACCACTGAACTATACGGTGGACCAGATACGATATAGACTATGGACTATATACATGGAAAATGCAGCTGAATTTGTTAATGGGTCAGCGGGTGTTCGTTGGCGCGTATTTTGAAATCATTGTTACGTGAAATAGACAGCTACGCTGGCAGCTCGGCCAGATGCAAAGGTGCACATTTTATATGCATTCTTTGAAGAATCCTCATGGGCGAGAGAACAACTGTTGTCATTGAGTGCAGTAGTGCGGAGTATCTTCAGATACAATTGGTTCAATGAATCCTAATGATCCGTACAGATAGTCCATCGAGACTTTAGGATGAAGTGAAAGGTGCAGGACGGAAACAATTTTGAATTTCAGTCGTGTCCTTCATACGTTTGTTACCTTTTTAAGGAACTTTTAATTTTTGCAGGTTTACTTGTAATATATAATTATTAGTTAATTAAGTTACTATATAATCGGTAGATATACGAAAAAGAATTGTTTATTGATCAATTATAATACTTACGTATTCTTAACGGACTGTCATCCGATGTTAATCAGATTGGTTTACAAGATCGGAATGTTGTCAGATGTTTCAGGCTTTTTATTGAAAATTTATCGACTCTTTTTTCTTTCACAAATTTATTATCTCACGGTGCAGATGCACCTGAAACTAGACTAGTCGGTGTGCCAACTGGACAATTGGAAGAAGGTCGCAATCAATTGGAAATACGATGCTTGGCCGATGCAAATCCACCTGCATCAATATTATGGAGGAAAACAAAGGGCACAGGTATCACCGAAGTAGCGAGTATTGGCGAAACCCTGACCTTTACGCCAATCTTTCGCGATCACGCTGCAGTCTATATTTGCGAAGCTGCTAATACGGAAGGCGAAAGCAGTCCGGTATCTGTTCAGATATCAGTCAATTGTAAGTTCGCTAGTTCAATCTCAATCAACTGCATTCTCCAATCATCAATAACAATAATTGATTCTAACCTGAAAATTTACTGTTGCTCAGATCCACCGAAAATCATCTCAGCAGGACCAGATCATTTTACGACAGCACTATTGTACACAGGTACATCCTTTGAATGTCATGCAGATGCAATGCCACCAGCTGAATACAGGTGGGTACTATAAAATTCTACTAGAAATAAATTAGCAGAGGACCAATTAATTCTTATCATCACGCGTTTGCTATCTACTTCTCCAGATGGGCTCAAATTTTTACCGACGGTAGACCACCAGTTGAATGCGGATCAGGTCCTCGATTGATATTGAATAATGTGACTTATGAGCAGCAAGGTCAATACATATGCTTAGCCTCGAACAAGATTAACGGAAACATCCGAGAGGTCAAGAGTAAGCCAGTATCGCTGAAGGTGGTTGGCGCACCCAGAGTAAGTCTCTTCATCCCTCAATTATCACCTGACACTATTATGATAACCAATAAATAATGATTTCAGGTCGTTAAACCTGCTGGTTCAGAAATGTTTGTAGTCTCCACTACCGAGGGCAGCCCAGCAAAATTGGAAATTCGATTATGCTCTGATCCTGTTCCTAAGCTTGTAGCGTGGGAGTGGGGCAGCACCAGACTTCATGCTGGTAAGATACCTAATCCGCAGGATACGATGATTAATGATCATTGTAGAATGATAGGGATCATTGAAGATCGATACAGATAATCCCCGCGCATTACGATAGTTAAACAGTACGTTTTACATCATGTTGCCAAGAATAAAGTACATAGTAACCTAAATAGGATCGCTTATTTCCTTAAGTCCGATACACTCATTTATAATTAACAAACCTGGAATAATAGGCGAAGTCCTGGAATCCAGATATCGTGCTTTGGACCTACAGCCGTTGGCACTGGAGAACTGTTATATAGCAATATTAGAATTGACCAACGCCATGAAAGAAGATCAACGATTGTACAACGTGATAGTTGAAAATACTCACGGAATGGATCGACGCGCACTTATGTTAAGAGTCACCGAACCCGGTCAGGTGTGTAATAAATAGAAACAATTATAAACAACTTTTATAAGCGACTATACGTTACAGATACCGCTAGTAATTGGCGCGGTCGCAGGCTTCACTGTATTATCAATACTGATAATGGGATTCATCTGTTTTCTACGATCCGATCGTTGTTGTGTACCAAGGAACACGGTGCCAGCACTGCAACAAGTACATTGGTAAATTATCATTAACCGAATTCACGCTGTATAGCATGTATACGTTTACTATCATTATATCCAATAAAATTATCATTGCAGTACAAAAGCATCCAATACAATGATAGAAGATTCACGGCTATCGGTTGAAACTATGGAACGAACGGCACAACAGTACGTGCAACATGAAAAACGTCAAAATCACGTAGTTAAACCGGTACCGTCCCAATATCAACAGGAATACTATCAGCATGAACAACAACAACAGCAACAACAGCGACCGCCGCTGCCGCAGCAACAGCACCCACAGCAACACTATCAAAGGCACCAGCATCAGCACCATCACGGGCCACAGTACACTCTGCAGGTCAGACAAGCACGGAACACGATACACCTAGAGGATCTAGAGAAACCAAGCCGGAGGAAGGAGAGTTATCTGTATTGAATTAGTTAAAAATGAATGAATGGGAACGTGTGGAGATACAGTGCTTATGCTTATGCACTGTATCCAGAATGCATTATAAATAGTGCATAGTGCATTGTGCATCAGGCTGATGGGAAATCGAGATTATAGTTGTGGAAAAGGGGATGGATATAGTTGACCGCTGATAATTAATGAATGAAGTAGAATGCAGCATGCATCTTGCGGCTTTATTATCTGCCCCACCCTCTCCCCGCCCCTGCCCCACAGCCTTGCAAGCTCATGCAACACCATTCTACAATCATTTCTTTTTCACGTCCTGTGTAATTTAAATATCTGCTGGGTATTATTATGTATAGTTGTTAATGATGAGGAAATTGTTATACATTCTTTGGAATTATTAGTATCTTTGGTTTGATATTTTTGAGATTTATGGTATCGTTGAACGATGTTTTGAAAACGGAGACGGAAGAAATTTTTGGTGGCTAGGGGTATAGATAGTAATCATGGACGATGTACGATTTGTCACTTATTTATATTATTTGACGCGAAGACTGACTGAACTTTACTTCCTCTAACGACTGGATCCAAGAGGACTCTAAAGGGGTAGAACAAGTTTCGAGAATGCTTTTGTACAAATGGGTATTTAGAAAATGAGATGAATAAGAAATATTGAAGACTTGGACAGATGGGTAGTAAGTAACATTGGATGTGGATGTATGAGAAAGTGAGAGAGAAAGAGAGCGAGCGTAAAAGTTATGAATGAATTTAACTGTACAATACGGAATAAGAGAAGAGAAAGTATTATTATTCAGAGAAAATATCTAAGTGAAAAGAAAGATGTGAATAGCAGTAGAAGCATAGAAAAAGAAGATCAAAGTACTCATACATAAATCTAGTATTACTAAAGGGACAGGAACGTATTTTGAATCTTGGGCGTGTGAATTTGTTGGGCGTGATTTTTCAAAAATATTAATTATATTTTCGAGAAAAAAAGCGGTATACAAGAATACAGATTCAAAATATGATCTTGGAAGTTCTATCTAATCAATGATTGTTGCTCAAAAATCCAAAGGTAAAAATCGTAATAAAGTTCACTCTATCAGGATCGTTATTCGTTTTTCTGTGTTGACAAATCACTCATTCGTCTGTTCCATTTTTGAGGTGGCTCACGTTTCAATTAGAATCCATGAAAACAATACAAAAATCCTACGTCATTTATTTGCCATTGCAACTCTTCCGCCTGCAGCCTATATATGTATATTCACATACATCCATAACTTTTGTAGGACAAGCATTCGTTCCCGTCCTATTTGTTATCAGCATAGAAGAAATATTTGCACAATTCTATTAATAGGAATTCAACCCATGCACATACATGCATCCCTAGTTCAATTCTCTTAGAATAAAAGTATATCCCTTTTTAAATCATGTGCAAGCTATTTCTGGCGACCCCGGAACTTAAAATTGAAAAAAAAAAGTGAAGTCATGCTAGATTAGGTAGTTTAGAGTATTTTTTTCTTAATTCCCCCTAGATCTGCTCTCTTTTGTTTTCTCTAAAAAATCAAAGTCACTTGTGCAGGGGGAGCAGCTGTTTCTCAAGCCGGATCGCCTCGCGACATTGAAGCCCCGTTGCAAGATTGAGAAACCACCCCAATATACTACCTTCAAGCCGAGTACGAATGACTGAGGAACGATATCATAGTGCTTCGATTTTCAAAATGTCCAACAGGATTGGAGAAAGCAAAATCAAATATAGAAAAATGGAAGTCTGTGTATTATCAGAAAGCCCGGTATTTTTGATCCCACAGTTCATATTTGTTTGCGAAAAATTTTCATGAGAAATGCCAATAGACTTTTCGTAAGAGAGTGGTAATGGTGCTATTCGTTATGATAAAAAAATTTAAAGTCAATCCAACTACAGTTGGAAATACAGAACATCATACATAAAGAGCAGAATCACTATAAATGGAAAACAAATGAGATTTATTTTATCTTAAGGTAAAATAAATGTTCTTCTCAAATTCCATCAATCAGCCTACATCTCTTTCGAACCAAAAAGATAGACTGAACATCGTGCATACAATTCATTTTCTTTTCGTATTTGAAGTCTTTATGTTCCTAGAAATATAAGAAATATAGATAAACATGACTGTGGTGAATATTGTATAAACAACCAAAACGCTTCTTAATACTATTTCATATGTATTTCTAAACATTTCATATTTTAAAACAAATAATTTAGTTTCCAATTTAAGATTTCTTACAACAACTTTGGATGACAAAACTTTTTCTAAGGCCCCTATTTTGAGGTCATAAATGATCATCATTTATGATACTGACATTTTATAAACATTTAAAGCCGATCAATTTACTGATTAATCCGCAATTTTTAACATATATTAACGCATAAGTATAATAGAACCAAAACACCATTTCGGTTCATAACTACTTCCAACATAAAAGGTATTTCCTGTATGTGGCAATGACGTCATATTCAACCCAATTATCCGTTCCAATTTAACAACAGAGAGTGAACATGTTTCACAATCAGCCACAAGAAGAGCTATAACGTCTAAAACCATACTTATTTCTATTAATACCAAAATTATTTCATTATTTAAATCGAAATTATCGAATTATCTAACTTTCACGACTAAGCTAATGGCTGATTGAAGATTTTTCTGTAACAACTGACTATCAAGCACATGACTGTTATGATGTTCATTTGGTTGAGGGGTGCAGATTGCTGATAAAAAACAATAATCAAACCTTTGTACTGCTATACCAAATACATGCTTTTTTTATTAAATGTCCAATAACTTAGTCAGGCACCCCCTAACCCCGCCCTCATACTTCAATTATCAACATTTCTACATAAAGTGGATATTGCAATGATATGCACACAATTCTACATAGACCCATGTCAACCGCATACTTATTTCTAGTTATACTCAAGAATATATTAGGAATAATATTATTAGTATCTAAATAATGCAACAGTCCGTAATTTGACGCAAAAGCCAATTTAGTAGAGAGGTGATAATCTGAATACAGACAAATGAACTGATTTATTGTCGTTTTGAGTGATTGCAAGGTATATTTCCATGAAGCGATATTAGAGGGGAACACTCATAAAGCTCATGTCGCTCCTTTTTCCTGAACTTTTCGTCCAGCTTTTGTTTCACCACCATTCATTCATTCTTCATAATTCCTCCTTCATTTAATTCAATCACTTCCTTGTTCTCATACAATGTCTTCTAATAATCTTCAACGTTCTTCTACGTAGATCTTTTCTCATCAATTCCCATTTTTCAAATGCTTACTGATTCTAATTCTTTTACTCTTTCGCCTGTCTCCCTCATACACCTTCTTTGTTTAAGATTCTTGGATTCGAATTATTATTAATAAAAGAAAAGGACGCAAACTGTCACTCAGGATACGCTATACCTTATCATAATATCAAGGTCTTATTAAGGAATAGTAATCAGTTATCATTATCTTTCATTATCCGTTTATTGCTATGCTTATCATTTTATAAATTGGAAATCGTGCAAAACAGTCAACGTACATAAAGTGATTACCAATACATTAATGTCCGAGCCGAAAGTATCTTCTTCAACTAATGAACATTTAGGACGTTTAAATGGTAAGATTAAGTTCCTCAATTTCTTTGTGGTAAATCGTGACATCCTTAAAGTACATATTAGGCACGGTGAAGTTGAATCCATAGACGGGTCTGTCCAGCGGGAATCCCATAGGTTTTCCATCGTCGAACATGGTGCCCCAAACGGGGGACTCGTACGTCCACGCGGGAGTCCCTTCGTACTGGCTAACATAGACGAACATCTGCATCGGCATACCGCTCTTAGTACCCTTAGGAAGGAACAGACGCTCAGGGAAGCCGGAAGAGCGTTTTTCGTACGTGAAGGGTTCACCACTCTTCATTGATTTCTTGATTTTCTCCATATACATGTGAGAGGATGTCTCATCGGGAACAACATATACTGAGTCCTTGCTGCTGCGCTCAACGACGTTGTTACCAACTTTCACTGGACGTAAGAAAACAAAGATTCATAATTACTTTAAGGATTAGACAAACATTTCCATATCCCTAACGTTGTGGAAATGAAAATATGTGCTTAAATGACTTTTTGATTTTGTTTGAACGTTGGC